TTACTGGAAGATTCATGCTGACGCTGTTTCCGAGGCAGTCTCCTTCGATTCCGGTGAAAAGGTGCTAAGCACCGTATGATCGTAACTAACCAAATCACTTTATACCTGATCAAGTATATATACCGCTTTTTAGGGATTTTCCGGTGAGTTTTCTTGACTTGAATCTGGTTGTGACGATGAAACCTTGCTCTGATGATGTTCATCATATGACTGACGAAAGCTTAGCGCCTTTTCACCAGAATCGAAGGAGATTACCTCGAAAACAGCGTCAGCGTGAATCTTCCAGTAAAGCCGATCGACAGCTGTTCAAGAGTAATCCACCGTCGTCTTCTGGTGGAACCAATTTTCGAATATCTTCACCCAACTCGAAATGGAAGTAAGCTCAATAACTTAATGTGCCTATATCGTTTCCTGCTTTTACTTAACCAACGCGAAGGGGACATTATATTCACAATCGAATTAGGAGAGAATAGGTCCTTACCCCATTTTAGATGTTCTGGTCATTGGAGAAGATGATCGAAATTATCATGACTACTAAAACAGGGGACGCCTTGGCAAGTTAATCATTTCGCGAAAACTAGTTGATGCTAATTTAACAGAATAAAAAATACCATTTTGCTCTTGACGCCTACAAGCAGACTCATCATTTGTCATGCAAGTTGGTTCGAAGGGATTGGCAAAATGGCACTTTGACTGCTCGTTGTCGTCTTCTTCTTCGAGTCTGGTAGAAATTTTGACATTTAAAATGTCTCTGGCAATGCCTACATACAATGCACATGCAAGCATGCAGCATTTTCTTTCGATTCTGGTTCGTCCGTTTTGAGCTCTCATTCCGTTAAAGACTGGTTCCCATACTCTGAAGGTGTCTTTCACGACGGGACAAAATAAAGCTCGGCAAGATAGTGGGTTTGGGGCTCCCTCGCACAAATCTGCACTAACAACTCGGAGAGACTTCCACAATCGATGCGATTTGAGACAGACCTGGCATGCCTTGAAAGCCACATCTTCTCTGCGGCCCAATGGCAAACGTGGCTGTGTTGTGGAGTGGTGACGTCGCATCAGTTGGCCGGTATCATCCAGGTTCGAGTACCGTCGATTGTGTTGTTGAGGTCGAAACTGCGGTCCGACCCGGATGAGAAAGCCTGATGAGAACAATGCCAACTAAAAATCTCTTTGACATGAGTTTCCACTTCAAAGGAAAAGTTGGTCTAAAGGAATTCATGATCTGGTCTCACTGGGAACCAAAGGAGGATTGCGGCATCAGAAAGACTGTTGTATTGGGCGAAGAAGTCCTCGGCTCATCAGGGTCTAAGGATGCTGAGTCGAGGACTTCTTCACACTTTCCAACAGTCTTATCTACGCCGCAATCCTCCTTCGGTTTTCGGTGATACTACATCACATATTTCTTCCAACTAAACTTTCCCTTGAAATGCAAAATCATGTCACAATATATCACTAAGGAATTCTTTGAACCCCATTCTTCGAAGCCCAGTTTTTCTACATAACAATATTTATCTTTCTATCCATTTCACACCTCAATGAGGGTCTCGTAACATACATCGTTTTCATTTCAACTCACTCTCATTTTAACAAGAAATGTAAGTACACCAACGGGAGTGTATAGCAAGATTCTTCGAAACCTCATTTCTCATCTCATCAGATCACATCTCTAACCACTTCCCTCAGCTACATGTTTTCAGAGTGAGGCATGAAGTAGTCAATCCAATTATGGGATGCCTCCTAAAGATAAATAAATTGGGTTATAAGAAATTGGAAACAAGTCCCCATTCGCGATTGATTGTTTGATGAAATCTATTAAAAATACTCACTTGGAGGACCCTAGGTCGTATCAGATGACTTAAGGTCTGATAACCTACTTTCTCCTCAATAACATGAGTTGAATAGAGGTTGTTTGACCTTGTTTTCGCTCAAAGGAGCAACCACACTATCTAAATAAACACGGTAAAAATTGCATTAGTGCAGGA